GGCGAACCGGCGAGCTTTGGCGGGCTGGAGAGAGCTCGGGAGCGCGCTGGGCGCGGCGCTTCTTGCGGCGCGGCGCCATGGGGGGCTGTGGTGAAGGCTCGGAGAATGACGCCAGGCGAGTCCTCAGAGTCACCATAGACAGAAGCTCGCAATGAGGGCATCCGCCGTCTGTGAGCGCGATAGCCGTGTGATCCTCACCCAGGCAGGACACGCAGATGACATGACGGTCCTCGTCGCTGAGTGGGGCGCGGCACGAGCCACAGGATGGCATCTTTAAAAAGACGCAGCTCTTTTTGTGATGAGAAGTGCAAGTCGCGTCACGTAAGCGAGCTAACACTCTCACCAGAGTAAGGATACAAAGGATATAGAACGCCGGAAAGCGCAGCAGGTACGGCAGTTGAAGGCGGCGAGGCCAGCGACTCCAGAAGCTCGTCCCGCTGAAAGGCTTGCTTCGACGGCGCGGCTTCTCACTCCGGATCCAGCGATGCGTACGCTTCGCTGAAGAGATGAAAATCAGCTTGTACCAGCCTACCAAGCTTATTTATAGGGCGAGACCACGCCTTTTCTGGCGGGACGTGACGATATGGGCGCGAATTGCCCCCATTGGTCATTACGTCACGCAGAGTCTCTCTCGATAGGCTGCTGCATTTGCCGCATGAGCAGCCAATAGGCGCGCGAGCTGTCTCGCCTATGTTTGCTTGCTGCTGCAAAGCGTTTTACATTAATAAAAAATTAAGGATAATTTTTGGCTTCAATATCTCGTGGAAAAGAGGTTTTCCCCATAGCGTAAAGCTATTTACGCAGTACGAGAGATACTCTCGTAAGAGAACCAGGCTAGCAGTTCTATGTAAAAGGTAATTTAATGATTGTAAGGGATTTAATGCCATAATTTGGGTTTATACTGTGTCTTTCCTTGTTCATCACAAGTGTGATGGCGTGACGTTCTGCTCAAAGGTATTTCCCAGAATTCGGGCCTATTTCTGTCCAGAGGGCGTAATTCTATTAAAAACTAATTCAATCTAATACATTTTAGCACCACTAATTAGTATAAACAAAAACAAGCCTAGACTTATTTTATGGCTGCTCTTACTAATGATTTTAACACATTTTATTGGTGTTTTGTGGTACAATATCTGTGTTTTGGTGTTGTCCGCCACCAGAGTTTTCACTTTCACTTTTTTTTTGGTCTGAAGTCACTTAGGCTCTTAAATTACAGTAGGTTATGATCAGTGATTTGTCATCACCGCAACAAACTGTCATTACCAGAACTGCAATGTCATCACCATCACCATTACCATACATATTTTTGCCAATAAATGATGTATAAATTACAAAAACATCCTACAATTATATATTTCTGACAAAGTTGGACAGTCTAAATTATCACTGTATTAAAAAAGTTTTGATACATGGCATTCACTTAAAATAAGCTTATATTCCAAGCCAGGGTAGATTGATGAATCAGAAATGTAGACACTTAAGTGACTATAATTCATCTTGCAAGTAAAAATCAACAATCCCATTAAGTTCAAGATAAAATAGATTCCATGTGAAACCACAAAATGTTTTAAAAGCACTGATTTATCATTTAAGTTTTATTATTTTACATACATTCGATGATGTGATGGTAATGACACATTAACTTGACATAGTTACAATGGCAAAAAATCATAAATTCCCTTATCTTATGCGCTCAACCAAGCTCATAACATTGTACCTGACTTAAGGACTGATAATTTGATGTATACCAATTAGTCAAATTTGGGATTTTAATTTTCAAAATTGCAGCAACCCAATTTGGCCCTTAATCTGAGAAATGCCCAAACAAAGGTTAATCAGGCCAGTACAGTTTAACCACCCCTTGATGATGTCATTAAGAGAATTACTGATGTCAGATCTGGAACATTTAGGAGATTTAGTGTTTGAGGAAGGAACCTAGGAACCTTTAGTATGGTTTAAACATGCTAGATTACACATACTGTATATGCATTGAATATGCATACAGGAGTAACCACTGTACAAGCACAGACAGCAAAAGGAATTCTAATTTCACAAGTTCCTTACTGAGATGTTTTTAAGAGGAACAAGAATTTTGGTGAACATGTTTTGAAATCATTCACGCAAGTTTGTGCTTGACTGGGCTGATGATAAAGCCTAAGCACATGTTTCCTGATCTTATCTGCTGTAACCAAAGTATTACATTTTTAAGATTCACAATTTAAAGAAGATATGTCACATTATGACAACACTATTAAAAAATAATAATAAATGGTATAGCTTGTAATCAGATATCAACGCTATGCATTGATGTCAGTCAAGTTTAAGAGGTGGACAGTAACACAGTACATGAGTACTGTACTTTAAGTACACTTTTTGAGTATCTGTACTTGAGTATTATTTTTTCTGGAAACTTTTTTGAAAGACAAATATTGTACTTTTTACTCCACTACAATTCTGTCAAGGTCTTTGAGTAGAAAGTAGTATAACGTCACTAAGGGGATGATTTTGGTTGCAGCTATGGGGTTGCATTATGGTTGGAAATGAAAATCGGTTTGAGGCCCGAACCCGACGTCGGATTTTTGGTTGGAAATGAAAATCGAGTTGACGTCAGAACCCGACTGATGTTGGTTTCTGACGTCAACCCGATTTTCATTTTCAACCAATACAACGTCTGTCCAACGTTGGAGATTAATCTGGCGTTGGATTCTGACATCAATCTGATTTTCATTTTCAACGTTGGGTTTGGTCTTCTAAATGCGAATTTTGTCATTGTTTTGGAGCACACTAGCTTATAAGGCTATATTCATACTAAAAGCCAAAAAAGTTTAAATAGGGCACTATTTGAGGGAACAGCCATTGGAAACCATTGTGGACGTTATTGAATGCACTTATTCAATCTCACATACAATCCCACTACTGGAACTGTGTTCTATAAATAAATTTGATATTGATATGAGACTGTGTTGGAGCGTAGGCAGGCAAAGAATCAGAGGCATAGGTACTGTATTACACAATGCATTGGCATTTACTTTTGATACTTCTGTACTTTTACTTCAGTAAAAATCTGTCTTTACAACTTATACTTGTAACGGAGTAAAATTTGACCAGTAGTATCTGTACTTGCACTCAAGTAAGGAAGTTGTGTACTTTGTCCACCTCTGTGTTTAAGGATAATGATATTTCAAGTGCAGAGAAAATCTGAGCATGATCAGTACATGCTTGGATCATTTTCACAAACATTCATGAAATAAACTCACCTACCCACCACTACAAAAATAGTGGTGTGCATTTTACATTTTAAATAATCCAGCTATTTTTCCTGACAATACAACAAAGACAAAACTGACAAAAACATGGATAAAAAGCAATGCTAATAAAATATTAACTTTTAAATGATGGTATTAGACCATGTCTTAATACACTAAATCATATATTGTACAAGTCGTATGCAAGGGATTCAACTGATCTGGCATACTGGATGTAAAAAACACTTATAATGCATAATATGATATAACAGTTCTTCCAGAAAAAGAAGTTGGGTTCTTTCTCAATTGGTGAGTCTCAAGTCGTGTCTCTGCTAGAAATTATTTTCATGCAGGTATGTTTATTCTATTAATCAGGAGCAGTTTCCATGTTTCTTTAATAGTACATGTGATGTTAATGTGTATTTACCATGGTAACTCATTTCCATATCCACAAAATGCCACTTTATTTTCACTTTGTGTTGTTTTGTATATTTTTAAATGACCAACTTACTAACTTTTATTGTATTAACAAAAAATAGTTTAGGAGTGCATTTTAATAGCCTTACCTCTTCATCAGTATTAATCATATTAAGTGGGACGGTACTTGTGTGTCAACTAATTTTGTGGAATATATTTACTTGTTTTATTTTTCAAAACAAATTTATAATAATTTAAGGCCGATTATATATATATATATATATATATATATATATATATATATATATATATATATATAGACACAATAAATAGTGTCACAGCTTGATGACCATGGAAAATGTGGGCCCGATGGTCAAACCAGTTGAGAAGCACTGAGCTGCACCACACACAGGGGAAACTTTCAAATCTCCTGTCAGGGTCTAACTCATTAGCTTTCCTTACCAGGCGCATTACGCACTCCGATCATGAAATCTTCAGATAAAGCAGCTTGAAATGTTTACAGACAAACAAGAAAACAACACTGGCTATTTGTATTAGCTTCTCTCTGCAGCAAATGTTAAAGAATATTAAAACTTTTAAGCTAATAGAAATACACATTTGGCTGAATAACAAGTATCCCTAAATTGATATGCATTTTATATACAACATTAAATGTCTATATAGCAAAACAAACACAGTGGTGTTACAGTATATAAGAGAAGGCAGAATTTTTCACATTGATTGCACTATATAAAAGGCAACAATCTCATTCAATGTAAATGACACTAAAAAGATCAAGTAGAACAAATTACAACAATAACCACAGGGATCAATTTCCCAACATTTTGTTCTTCATTTATTCCTAATTAAATAATCCTAAGTGTCCAATCAAACTATCACCTTTCCTTTCACATGGTCACTTCTGGCATTTTCTTTTTTTGGCCGAGGAGGGGGAAGAACCCATTTATTCAGTCACTTTGAAGTTCTTTCCTCAATTTGCAACAGCAGTTAATCATTCCTGAATCACGACAATGCATTCACTATAAATTAAGAGAAGAAAGTGCATCAAGTGTTCAAGTAGGGTGTATAGTTTAACACATTTAGGGAAAGGAAATAAATGGTGGGCCACTGAACCGGCACTTAACGGGCGAAGGGTATGCCAACCTTTAACTGTAACAAGTTGAATTTCAACCTTTTGTGATAGATACTACGCAAATATTGGCAAAATGACAAAGCAAAAGCACAGGTGGCAAAACAGTAGCATTTAACCTCGTATCTTTTGATTGGCAGTATTGTTTTGTATTATAAGGGTGGTTTGTGGAAGGATTTTAGGGAGGAGTGGGAACATGGAAGTGGTTTTGCGGTCTCATCTCTTTGAAGCCCTTCTTGGGTCCCTGCCATTGCTAATGGTGACTGTGGGTTTGGGGGGAGCAGGGGATCCCCCTGCAGTTACTGGGGGTGGTCCATTGCCTGGAACACGCCCGTTTGGTCTTCCTGGAGCACCAAAGTTGGGATCCCGAGGCACAGGTGCAGCACTGTTATTGGAAAATACTGGCCCAGTACCATTTCCTGTTGGGCAAACAAATAAAACAAAGAGTGGCAAACTTAATCATACCAGAAACATACAAAAGACACCATACTGAGGGACCAGAAAAAGCTATTACTTTGTGTCATTAAGCAGACACTTATCAAAAGCAACTTACAGTATCCTAACGGTAAGAACAGGATCTCAGTAACTCCAATTTCAGAGACTGAACCTGCAACCTTCGTTAGCAGCCCAGATTCCAAACCATTAATCCACCACTACAAAAATCAGCATCCGTCACTTTAGTAGGACAGATTATGTAAAGTACTAGTCATACATTTGTTCACCTGTCTGCACAGGAGTACCTGAATTTTGATTCGGTGGAGAATTTCCGCGCTGTTCTTTACCCTATTGAGAGGACGAGAGATAAGACACCATTGTGTTGACTTTGTGCATAACAGGAGCTTTACTGGTTAGGCAAGTTTAATGGCTTGGTATTTGAATGTGCAGAAGTAAAACCAAATGTTTGCTTCTGCATTAATAACTTCTACTTTCCAAGTTATGTTCTAAACAAAGACTTTGAAATGAGTTGGAGTGAAAAAAGCCCTTTTTTTTTTACATTATAACTGAAGCAAATTTAGACATGCAAATGATTAAAGGGAAGTATAATCATTGAGGCGTCACACTGAGGTGCCATTTTGCATAAACATTGATTGGACTCACCATCTTGTTATGCTGGTTAGCTTGTCCTAGCAGCTCTGGATTTGGCTCACTGAAATTAGGAATCTCAGAATACACCATACAGAACCTGTGAAAGACAATGTACTGATGTAAAATGAATGCTCCCCATTTTTTACTAAATGCTTAAACGTTAAACCATTTGTTTTACTTCAGTGGCATGTTGATGTCAATAATTCATTGCTGATAATCCATATTATGCAAATATATTGTGATAATATATAAGTGACATCCAATGATATAATGGCTAACAAATTATGGCTGAAATTAACAGTTCCCAAACCTTTTGCCAGGTACATTTGCTAGAATTCTTTTTGGTCAGTCATAAAATTTTACAGCAATCTCACTCACGTAGAACAATTTCTCGACAATTAAATAATTTAGAGCCAAACTTAGATTCCACTATAGACCAGGGGTGTCCAAACAAGCTCCTAGAAAACAAATTTCCTGCAGATTTTAGCTCCAACCTGCTCAAATGCACCTACCTGGAGGTTTCTTAATCCTCCTGAAGACCTTGATTAGCTGGTTGGGTAATAAACGCTACAGGAAAGTTGCCCTCCAAGAACAGTATTGGACATCCCTGCTATATACTTTTCAATGAAATGTTCAGGCTTGGAAATAAAGATATATAAAATCCAGATTTCACCATGAGAACCCTATTCAATTAATTTTAGGCAGTTACTGAACCAAAGCATTTAAAAAACAGAATTCATGAATCTATTCACGGATTCATGTGCCAGTAGATTTCGAAACGTCACAAGGCCAAATTACCATGGTTATTGCCAAATGCTGATAAATCACAAAATGAAAATGGAAGATGATATTGTGAGAGGCAACATTTAATACTCACTCTCCTATTTTTTGTAAGTCTCCTCCTCTTCCAGTGTACAGTGTAAGGCACCCCTTCCACATTGAAGCATACCTATCCAGACAAAAATATATTTCCAAAGTTAAAACACGTCATCTGTACTTGAAACAACATTTATGAGCCTTAAAACAAATATTTGTACTCTGCAAGTTTTTATAGCACATACATGGTTGTCAGTGACATTAATTTCACATACATCCTTGTTATACAGCCTTGCAGGATACTCAAAGCAGTTTAGGTCAGTTTGAAAGAGATAGTTGCCCATTTACCGTACATTTGACTGACAGACCAATAGCCATAGTGTGTTTAAAGCGTCAAAGGTCTGACTAAAACACACACACACACAGAGAGAGAGAGAGAGAGAGAGAGAGAGAGACAGCATGTGTCTCGTACCCTCTCGTAAGGCGGATGATGTCCCCGGGCTGGATGAGGCTGCCCAGCTCATCCCACACAGAGATGGCGATGCTGCCGCTCTTGTCCGCCACTCTGCACGAGCGCACCTCGTGTCCGTCCTTTGTCTTCGTCACCCGACCTGTGCGTGCACAGCAAAGTTCAGTAAAATCTCAACCGTTACAAAACTACTGAAAACACACTAACGATTGCGATACATGATGGGTGATGCGTGAAAAGTCAAAGCTACAAGAACACGAGAAGAACAAAATAGACGTCGAGCGTTAGACATGTTATTCATGAATGTTAGCTGTGAGAAATTAGCTCTAACTGTTACTGGTGCTAAAATGCTCGTGAGGGGCACAGCAGTGAATTCACTTACCGATTTCCAAAACTATAAAGACGATATTAAGGTTTTTAGATCCGGCCTTTACATCTTTAATCAAGATCACACCTTCGTTGGAGATATTCGACATTTCTGAGAGCTGTGGTGAAGGCTAGCACACCGGCTAACGAAACCACAGCTGTGTTGGAGGATTTCTTGATCTAAATCTAAATCTGTGCTCTGAGTGATACGTTTTATTTGCCAAATAAACTTTATTTGGCGAATAAACTTTGCATGCAAAACCCTTTTTGGAAAGGCTATGGTGTTGCTAGCGTAACATTTGAGGCAGTTTTTCCACACTTGACGAACGAGCTAAAGGAATGGAAGTAAAAGCAGGAAATATTTCCTCATACACGATTAAAACGACTCGTTTAAAAACACTCAATTCGTTTTCCAGACAGATATTTTAGACTTCATCCTGCCCTAAACCTGGAAAAACTACGACTCAAGAAGACTTCAAGTCGTCACTGCTCAAAATGTCTAGCATCCAGATTCATACTCAATCACTTTTTTGTTGTCGTTAGCCTACACTGTCAATTCACGACGTCAAGTTAACAAACAGCTGTTAAAATCTATGTTTTCTTCACACATATGCCGGTTATATTGCGGGTTGCTTTTAAAACCGTGTCAGTGAGTTCAGACACACATACTGCCCGGTCAAACTGAACATCGCGTCTCTTCATGTAAGTTAACCTTCCACTCGAAAATCATTCATCTGGCGTCTATTCGACATTTAAAATGCTAAAGCGACGAGACAGTCAATTAAAAAAAACGATTTCAGCCGAGATAACTATAACTGGTTAACTTGTACGTTATGACCAGTTCGAAACTTCCTGATGGCCGTTTAAATTGTTATAATTATAGTATGTTTTCTACTTGTGACGTACTGCAATTTTACCAAGAAACAGAATAAAAAAAAATAATACTTTCGCAAAAGAGGGGAAAATCTCTATTTATCTCTATTTCACAGTGCTATCTCTGTCTCTCCCTCACTAACAAAGCGTCTGATCTGCGCAAGTGTGTGTTCGGTTCTTTAAATTCTACCGGATGTACCATCGCACTGTTTCGCGGGGGTGTTCACAGATGTGTTATTGTTGTTTAATACACACATGCGATTTGAATACACGCACATTTGTTTGAACAGGGATCACAAATAATTCAGCATATGTTGTCCAGTATCATGGATATTACACGGGAACGAAAGCTTGAGAGACCCAAGTGTTTTTTTTTTTTTTTTTTACATTGAGCTCAATCTGATTGGACACCGTGAAGAAAATGTGTCCACATGTCATGGATAGGAAATATATATCCACACTCCATTTCCTCGTACGATTGTCGACGTTGTGTAATATGATTTGATTACACGCTCCAAAATATTTCCAAAGGTAATAGGTTGCATCATCACCTTGCGTTGTTTTGCTGTATTTTAAGGGACTATCCACGAAGAGTAGTTAAACATGTGTTGATGTTCACATCAAATAAATAAATGTTAAAGACTATGTAGACAAGTACATAACATTTGCTTTGTCACAATGATCATCTTTCGAATAGAAATTTGAAAACACGACCGGTTGACTAGCTGGTCAGATTATAATTGTTTTAGTTTACATCCTACATTCTTTGCAGGGGTTTAGCAACAATAATAATTCACATGCAGTAAAGTCTCGCGATCACACATGCAAAAAGAAAACCCGTCACGAACAGGATTCGAACCTGTGCGGGGAAACCCCATTGGATTTCGAGTCCAACGCCTTAACCTCTCGGCCAAAAATGGGGCAAAAGGGACTGCTATGAGGGGGAAAGAAAGGGAAAAGAGAGGAGAGGGGGAGGGGGGGAGGGGGGAGAGAGAGAAAAAGAAAGAGAGAAGATGAAAAAAATCCATCAAACTGAATGAACACTCACAAAGGATTTAAATAAAGGGTTTAATTGTTTTTTGACTATTTAAAAGTACCATTTAAAACTAAAAATACTGATCTGACAAACACACCACACACTCTTGCCAGGACTTGCACCTGGAATCTTTCACCCAAAGGATGAATGTGTTACTATTACACCACATGAGTTGTGTTTACACCACCAGCACTGCAAACACAGCAACTAAAAACAAAATGTTCACAAGACAGCAAACATAATTATAAACTGAACTATATACAAATATAGAAAACAACTATATGAAAACATAACTATATGCATAACTACGATATACACCAATTTAAAACAAAATCAAGGTCTTCCCTTTACATTCTCCCTCCACTGCTCTATAGAGAGGCCTGAGGCTGGACAATACCACCGGCCCTTCAGCTGAGTGTGGCCATTTGTCTTATTTTTTTGCCAGAAAACTGTTTGTGAGTACAGAAACATAAAAAAAAAAAAAAAAAGAGGACAGCAACTCAATCGTACAGGCTGCGTTTGGTTGTTAAAAAGCAAATGTTTCCCACTTAACCCTTTCGCACGTACGTTCTAAAATAGTCAGACTGGCAGCCTGGCGTGAGTTTTTTTCTGCGACCGTTATTTTGTAATCAATCGCGTTCTAATTTCCATGGAGACGCATGAACCTTGTCACGTGAAATTTCGCAGTCACAATGGCGCACACGATGGATAACCGTCTGCAGGTGAGTAGTTTTAATGTTTCGCTTTATTTTTTATTCAAAACCTCTCAAATAATTTGTTAGCGTGTACCGACTATGGTTGATATTGTTTTGTTTATGTCCCCCCCCTGCTTTGAATTTCGCTTGCACATGGTTCTTTGCATCTCCCTCACAACAGCCGCGTGACAATCGGTGAGTAACGTTAGGCTATATTTTAGTTTTTAATTGTATTCTGAAGCATCTAGAATTATTTACAAGCATGCAATACATATGAATAAAGAACGTAAAACGGACAGTGCTCAATAATGTGGTCATTACGGTTTGTTTGTCTGTCAACGCGCTGTTTTGCACATTGCAAATTGCAAATAAATATGTTCAGTAATCCGTGCATTCAGGAGGTAAAGTCGGGGTTCAGTTGAATTGATACTTTATAACATGAATATACCAAAGCACATATTTGCCGTTAAATCCTTTACATCGATTTTCTTGTTTGTTTTAGTTAATATTGTTACTGAGTTTTATATCTCTCAATAGCAAAGCAGAGAAAAGCTACATGGTATGACATTGTTGAATTATATTTTCCTATATACAAAACATTTGAGCAAGCTGTGTGAAATACAATTATATATGGTCACACCTTACTTATTAGCTTGCTCAAATGTTTGTTGGAAATATAATTTAAAGGGATAGTTCACTTTAAAATGAAAATTCTGTCATCATATACTCACCCTCAATTTGTTTCAAACCTGTATGAATTTCTTTCTTCTGCTGAACACAAAAGAAGATATTTTGAAGAATGTCAGCAACCAGACCTATAACTGGAGCCATTGACTTCCATAGTAGGAAAAAATATATACTATGGAAGTCAATGGCTCCAGTTAAAGGTATAGCGGAGGATCTTTCCGAATTTTAGAGAAAACTCACCCTCTCCATTTTTTTTTAAAATGCACATGCGCAACACTCTATTTGCTCCCGAGAGGGAATGCCTATTAAACATGTGCACGAGAGAGCATGATAGCTTACATTAACTTTTACTAGCAGTGATTTTAAATGGATTTCTCCAAATAGCATGACAAACTTTACCTGTCTAGTAGAATCTTTGCGACTGCGGCATCAGTGGGAAGCCCAACCTGTGCTTTTAGCGCACGCCAGCGTGTGAAATATTCACCCAAAATCACTCTGGTCTTGTTTCTATATCCTGCGGCCTTTCTCTTCTTATCATACACTTCGTATACATTTTTTCTCTTTCAACCCTCAGCCATTTTCAAAGGAATGGCTGAAACCGTAACTCATCACACATAATACAACTGAAAGTGTGCATGCGCAGAAAGCGAAAACTACATAGGGACGAGCACGTACGACGGCCTTACGTAAACATATCACCAGAATGATTGACACTTAGGTGGACCAATAGTATAGGCTACCCACCCGGAAAAAGAAAATCCTCCGCTATACCTTTAACTGTCTGGTCACTGACATTCTTCAAAATATCTTCTTTTGTGTTCAGCAGAAGAAACAAATTCATACAGGTTTAAAACAAATTGAGGGTGAGTATATGATGACAGAATTTTCATTTTAACTATCCCTTTAACGATGTCATACCATGTAGCTTTTCTCTGTTTTGCTAGTGAGATATATGTATAGTATAAGATTAGCATTATTAATAGAATTCAAACGTATGACATTTGTTAAAAAGAAATCACAAAATGTACACATTTCATGTATGTTTTATTAAATCTATTTTAATGTAAGTTAAATGTTTTTTTTAACACAATACGTTTATACTTACTAATATAATTACAAAACAGATTTACAATGAATATCAAAATAGTATCATCATAAACAAACAAAAATTCTATAAATATACTCTGACTTTTGATAAATGTTTTTGTTTAAAACAAACTATTATACATACCTTTATACTTAATAATATAATTACAATAAAAAAATAATTAAAATAGTATCATCATAAATTAATTAATATACTCTGACTTTTTACAGGCTTAATAATGCTTCAGTGTGTGGTACTCCTCAAAACATGGGACAGCACACAAGGGAGTGTTGCATGGCACACACATGTGCTTGGTGAGGCGCCTCTGCTTGCCCTTGCGTGTGCTGGAGAGGCAGACCTTGCAGTGCCGCCTGGTCTTGCTGCCCTGGGAAGTGGTCTGAGGGACTTCAGATGGGAAATGCCTGGCTGTAAGGCGCAGAGGAGTGTCTAAGGCAGGACGCCCTCCTTTGGTTGGACCGCGCGATGTGCTGTACTCCTCCAGCAGCCCTCTCATCAGGTTCGTCCTGAATTGTAGGGAGGTGATTTCCTTTCCTACTCATAGTAGAGCACATCAATAGGGAGGGAGTGAGGAGAATAGAATAGTATGTGACAGTATGGTCTGTTTATTATTGTGAATTTGTTAACACTTTAGATTACATTAATTAAAAATGTTATCACTTTTTATCTTGTTTATATTTATTATTAGATGATTTGTATCCATTTCTCACCAGTAATTTGCCGGTAGACGATGTGGCTGTTGAGTAAAACAGTGTCAAGTACATGGAAAAATATCTTCTTGTACCACTTGGTAGACTTTCATTCATGCATTCATGGAAACCAGTCATCATATCAGCTTTGTCAACTGCCCCCATCTTTTCGTTATACTCCAGCACACAGACTGGCTTCATCCTTGGTTGCCCAGTGATGTGATCAAGCTTCCCTGTGGCTGCCATACCAGTTGGGTGGACTGTGGTAAGGACATGTACATCCCTCTTGTCGTGCCATTTTACTGCCATCTGTGACCCATTCTCTTCGAATTCCACCTCACCTTTTTTCATCTTACAGGTGAACTTTGGCATCCCTTTCCTGTTTGCGCGCACAGTCCCACAAGCTCCAGTGCCAAGTGACAAGAGGTGCTGGAAAAGTGTGGGACTACTGTACCAGTTGTCCACATAAAGAACATGACATTTTTTTAGGTAAGGTGCTAGAAGTGTCATCACAACGGACCCAGAAATCCCAAGTCCTGGGTAATGTTGGATGTCAGTGGTAGATCCGGTGTAAATTATCATGTCCTCCACATAACCAGTGAGCACATCACACAAAACAAAAAACTTGACCCCAAATCTGTGCCGTTTAGATGGAATAAACTGACGAAATGCCAGCCTGCCTTTCCACTTCATCAGAGACTCATCCACACACAGATCCCTGTATGGCACAAAAATGCGACGAAAGGAGGAGGTGAGAGCAGTAAATATGTGTCTGATTTTTTTCAGCGGGTCATTGGAAACTGCTGTCGCATTGTTTGCGAAGTGAAGACAGCGGAGGAGCAGAAGGAAGCGATCCTGTGAGAACAGAGACCCAAAAAATGGGGTCAAGA